TGCTGCTTAATTTTGTAGTTTAGTTTAGTTTACAAGTAGTTTTGTTACTGTTTCATTTCTGTCAGTTCTGTTAGTATCAATAAAGTGATACTTGTAAAGTAAAATAATTTCTGGGAGTTTTTGGTGTGATTTGCTGAAAACCACATAGATCATGTAGATACTGTAAGAAATATATATATTTAAAAACATTACTTAAATAAATGGGCCTGTGTACAATAATCAAACGAGAGGAAAGATGGAATAATACATATTTAATGGACAAGATATAGTCTTGTCCAGTCTGTGAACACATTTTGCAAATCTCTTTTTTTAATGCAAAAACGTATTTTTTAATAAATACAAAGAGAGCAACAAACAAATAGAACATATAATATGTAGCAAAGTATGCCAGGAGGGTCGTTTTATACAGGAAATCTCATAAAAGATAACTATTATGAAGATAAAGGTGTTCTGTTGTCAGTGATGGGTCAACCAGAGGGCGCACTGACAGCATAAATACGTTACAGTCCAATCAATCAAACAATACAAATTTTTCTACTGAATTATAATTTTTTAAGTAAATTAAGACAGTTCTTATTCATAAACGGTATTATAACATTGTCTAGGAAGATTTATCAATTTATAGAAAGATATTTTAATTACTATTGATAAATATGGTATGTTTCATAAATATATTTGATTTATATCAAATATGTGTAGTATTAAATCAGCTTACAGGATGTAATTTAGCAAACTTTTATCATTTCCAGTACATTTTTCTTAATCTACAAAGACTGTGTTCACTCACTCCTTGTTTTCTGAATTAAACAGAAAACAGAGCAGTGTTCACAGTGAACAGTAGTTTGTGCTGCAGGGTGTATTTTTTAAGCTTGAAAACAAGTTTCAAGAAGAATCATCTGCTGTCGACTGGCTGTAGTTGGACACTTGGATGAGGATGACTTCAGGAGCTCTAAAGTACAGCGAGGTGATGGACCCCGTGGCCCCGGTCCTTTCTAGGGCTCTTTACAATCCTGCAGAGGAGAGGACAACAGCTGACACGAGGCTTTTATTTCACTCACTTCTGACTTGTTTTCTGAATTATAAGAAAGTCCAGACGAGGTGAAATCAGTAACTGAATCCAGTTTTGCTGACAAATACCTTCAGATGAGCAGCCACTGAAGACAGGTGTTTTTTTGTTACGAGGCACAGATCATCCTGCAGTTGGATGTTTGGCTTTTGTTTCAAACTCTTGGCCCAGCTGAAGATGAGGTGAAGATTAAACTTCTGCTGACCAAAACTAAGAGCTTTACGGTTTTCCTGGAAAATGCAAACAGGAAATCTATTAAAGCAAAACCAATTTTTATGTACAGATGACGCTGAACTAATTAATAATTAATCAAATGATTAATTAATCAAAGACAGCCATCCTGTGGTTGTTTTTATTTACACAACTCTTCATTAGCACTGAAATAAAGCACACACTTAAATTAGTGGTAATTTCTTAATGATTATAAACCAATATTAGACGTTTGTAATGAGCTTGACACTAAAAGTAACAACTCCCATACCAAGAACTGAGGTATAATTATTTCCATGGTGAAACAGCGCCCCTGCGTGGTAAAGATGCGACACAACACCCTCAATTTTTTTATTTACCCTAAACATGCGTCGCATATCTTTTTAACAAGTGACGTAGATATGTCAATGATTTAACGGAGATACGAGTGGCGTAAATTGTTACTATTAAATTATAAAATAATAATAATATATAGTAATAAAATAAATAAATTGTTTATGTCTGTGGGAATGACAGTGCTGCACACAGAGACCTCCGCCGCTCTCCCGACGTGGAAACCTAAAGCTGAGCGCAGCTTCTCAGCATCTGGCATCTCCACTGGAAATGTTGCTGCAAACACGTGGTCAGTCGGGCTGCGTTGTCACTGCAGGTCCTCTATTAATCCACCAGGGGGAGACAAAGAAACGCACAGTAATAATATTATAATTATAATAATAATTATTATTTTGACAGGCCTAAGATGACAGACACTCTTACGTCATGCAGCTCGCTTTGAATTCCCAACATGTTCTTCATCTGCTAAAACAGAATAAAAACAATCAAAAATAAGCACTAAATGTTCAAAATGATTCAGACTTACTGTTTTTCCTGTCTAGGTTTAATTTAACACAGAATTGTTCTCATTGGAACCGTGAGTGCTAGAGATACGGTGGATAAAACAGTACAGGCGTATGTGTAAAGTGAAATACTGTATAGTCAGATACTCATTAAGGGAAACAAGTCCAAAAATGAGTTAGTAATCAATTTAAGTAAAACCGTGTCAATGTGCTTTTTCATTAGAAAACAACAAGTACAACACATTTTTCAAATTTATTTACAGGATGAAATGATTAAAAATGTAACAGAATTCAAATATCTTGGGCTGTTTTTAGATCCACATCTAAAATTTGAGAATCATATAAACAACATGTCCAAAAAATTCAAAAGAAACCTCAATTGTTTCAAATTAATAAGACCTTATATTCCTGTACAGGCTGCTCTTCAGTATATGCATGCCATGATATTCTCTCATATCTCATATTGTATGACTTCACGGGCCCAGACGGCTATTAAGCCAATGGTCTCATTGTATAACCAAACAATAACAGTAATGGACAAAAAGCCAATAAGATCACATCACTGTCTAATCTTGGACAAACATAACTTAATGAGTTTTGAAAGCGTTTCTAACTTGTGTTTTCTTAAATTAATTTTTAAGTGTATCAATAAGTTAGCTCCTCATCCATTGAGCTCATTTAGAAGCAAAACAGTTGCAGAGTCACCAGAGGATCTTTAGAACAGAACTGCATAACTCCATAAGTATGTAGAACCTCGTTTGGTCAGACTTCTTTTTCCTATAAAGGCACAACATTATGGAACTTATTGCCCCCACATGTAAAAGCTACACCTGAACTAAAAAAGTTTGTTTACATGACTAAATCTTGGCTAAAGGAAAATCAAAGATGTGATCATTTTTAATACTCGGATTTTATGGATGCAAAAGTCTTTGTGGGAGTGTATGTATTAGAGAGTTAGTATTATATTTACAATTTTTAGTATGTTAGCTGAATGTGTGAGGATGGGGTGGTACTGAGGAGGTGCTATGATATTTATGTAAAATTGTGGGTTGCAAAGTTAATTTAGAATTGTAGAGGAAAATGTTTTGTATTTTTATTGTATTTAGATTGTTAAATTGTTTAATTTATAGTTTTTAATTTGTAAATTTGGAGGTTGTAAGGTTGATTACATGAATATGTAGGCAGGAATACGTATTCTTAATGTATTTTGATTGATAAACTGTATGTATTTTAATGCACAGAAATGCCCAACCAGGGACTGGAGTTATGAATTATCTATAGCTGTATAGTCTTTGTGCAACGCATCAGTCACAGACTTGTTCTGTTCTGTTTGTGTGCACTGTCCCTGTCAAACCAACTAACTAACTAACTAACTAACTAACTAACTAACTAACTAACTAACTAACTAACTAACTAACTAACTAACTAACTAACTAACTAACTAACAAGGGGAGATACAGGTTTTGTCATGTTTTCGAGTGTCCCTCGGATGTTTTATGCTTTTATTGCTGACCAAATCTCCACTGGAGTTTGCCAAAAGGCTGTGGAAGATCTCTCAAAGAGCTTCTCAGCACCTGGTCCAAATAAAGATTTAGTATGTATTTTTGTTATTGCAGATGTAACATATTGCATATACTCTAAAGTAGTTCAAATTAAAATGTCAAACTTTATTTTTTATTTTTTGGTAATCTTGCTTGTTTAAATTTGCACGTTTAGTTTTCCAGGGGATAGTTGTAGTGGCCTAGAGGTTGTAATGAAATTGTTACGATTTTTGTCCCAGAAAGGTACTCGTTGACCTGAAATAAGGGTGAGCTGTCGTTTTTTTTTTTTTTTTTTTTTAACTTTATTGAACTACTGAACCTACAGAACAAAATAACATAAATAGAACAACAAATGACAATCTCAAATTACAATGATACATATAAACATATACAAATATCTACAATCATACCTCCTAAGGTCAATATATTCTAAAACGAATTATCATATCAACCATCATAAACTTAAAATTTAGGTAATAATACTATTTGAGAGTTTGCAAATAATACAGTACAGTAAATTAAACAACTAACTATTTATCTAAGAATCTACATAATTACTAAAATAATTTGTCAGAGGGCTATATTATCTGAGCGAGGTGATCAGAGAGCTTTTTGGCTTGTGGTTTTTTAGCACAGTCTAATGAAAGTTTTAACAACTGGAGTTCTTGTTTGAATACAGACCATAATGGTTTAGACTTGCCATATCTGCATTTATGTATATAGAATTTCAATATTATGATAATGTTATTGACAAAGTATTCATCTTTTTTTATTTCTGTCGGTTTATAAGTTGCTGTGTCACTATATTCTGAGTTAAGATCACAAATTCTTTGGTTTTGCTGAGTTAACTTTGCTCCGCACAGGCAGAAGCTGCGTCGCTCACAACAGCACTTTCAGCAGGTCAACGTTGACAAGGGTTGCCAAGCAGAAAATCACTAAAACTATCGTATATTGCTCAAAACTGTTATGTGGATAACATTTTGATGATATATGGGTGTTTCCTGAATGAAGACGATTTTTATTTTCGGTGCACGGAAAAGCTAACACTATCGTATTTTTTAGACTTTTTAAAAACTCTCAGATATCGTATAAAGTACACCGTTAAACTGTATTGTAACTACAATTATTGGTGGATATTTGGCAACATCGACGTTGACGCTCTCCGTTTTTCTTGTCACGTGATCAGCCTGCTGTCCAATCACCGTCGTGAAACAACGACTCGCTCAAGATTCAAAGTTGGCAGCAAGTTCTTTATTCAGGAGCTGAATTCTTCCGCTGCTACTTCTGTGGAACTTCATAAGTTTCACAGCTTAAATGTTTTTATAAACGTGAGTTTTCGGTGGCGGAATGGAGGGTAAAGTTATCGGTCCTGGGCCGTACCGGGCCACGAAGCTGGTGAGTCTGTTTGTCCTGCTTGTGTTCAAACCTGCTAACGCGTTTCTAACCTGTTTTTTAATTATTATATCTGTTTACCTCATTAAAGATTATGCTATGTTTTATATTAAAGGAACAATTTACACAATATACATGCGTACCGTTTAGTGGTATTTAAATATGAGCTAACGCAGCAATAAATTAGAAAACGTGATTAAATTCAGCAAATTGACAGCTTTTTTAAACTCGTTTTTTATTAGCGCATAGTTTCCTACTTTGTGATTATTTATTATTTTATTTAAAGAAGACTTACTGGGATTGAAGGAATCCTGAAAACATTTGAACTCTTGTTGGGTCAATGACACAACTGAGGCTTCATCCTGGATCACAAGGGCAGCAGGAGAGTTAAATGGGGTTCTATGGAAAGGCTACGAACAATAAATATCTTACCTGAGTTTAATTCTGTCTGGATTGACAAACTAACATCTGCTGTATAAAAACAACTCGGATCTTAAAAGTTGTGCATCTGTAACGTTGTAAATGTTGCTCTCAGTTTCTTATTACATGGTTGTTTGCACAACTCTGTGGTTATTGACCAGCACAAATGGTACCAGCAGCGAGCTGCATCTCTTCCTGCATGCTGGTAATTTTGACAGAATAGCTGGACAGTATGAAACAGGCTGCAGTTTCAAACTTCAAATAACATCACATGAAACACTTAAAGATTAAGCTAATGTTTTATATTAAGAGCAACAATTGACCAATGTCCTGGATGGAAGGGAGGGGTATCTTGATGATCTTCTCCTCCGTTCTCACCACCCTTCTCAGATCCAAAAAAAGTCCATGCTCAATAATCCAGGTATACAATCCAACATTTTTCAATCGGGTCATCTGGACAGTTTCTTTCTTTTTTTTTTCTGAAACGTTTCACCTTCCCAGAAGGCTTCATCAGTCAAGGAAACACACAACAAAACTGATTCTTCCCCCAACAGCTTACTCCAAAGTGGAACAAACCAGTTATGTTGGTGCTAAGATGGTGTCTTTGGTACGCTCCCTCCTCTTGTGCCGGCCCTCTTCCTCGTCGACTTCCTCCTCAGATCTAGAGTAATTTAAAAAATCCTATTTCAATTAATCTCTCAAGTATGACATCATTTCTTTATATTCAGCTGATTGATTGATTGCTGGGAGCAGAAAACACTGGTGTAGTCCCATTAGGTCTGAATGACTATCGGCCAGTGGCCCTCACCCCGATAGTCGCTAAATGCTTCGAAAAACTGGTCATGACTCACATCAAAACAACCATCAACATCAACGAGGACCCTCATCAGTATGCATACCGTGAGAACCGATCAACAGAGGATGCAATCTCCTCTGTGGTCCACACTGCACTCAACCACCTGGAGCAGAAAAACTCTTACGTCCGTATGCTCTTTGTGGACTTCACATCCGCCTTCAACACCATGATCCCCCAAACCCTGATGGACAAACTATCCACACTAGGACTAAGCCCCTCCATCTGCAACTGGGTACTAGACTTTTTAACAAACAGACCACAGTTAGTGAGGATCCACAACCTCTCCTCCTCCACCATAACCCTCAGCACTGGCTCTCCTCAGGGATGTGTGTTGAGCCCCCTTCTGTTTACTCTGCTCACATATGATTGTGCAGCTACCCATCCAGGCTGTCACATTGTAAAGTTTGCAGATGATACAGCGGTGGTGGGATGCATCACAAACAATGATGAGTCCAGCTACAGGCAAGAGGTGGAACACCTGGAGAGCTGGTGCAGAGAGAATAACCTTCACATCAATGTGAAGAAGACAAAGGAGATGATTGTGGACTTCAGAAGGAACAAAAACACCTACACCCCCCTGAACATAAGAGGATCTGCGGTGGAAGTTGTCTCCAGCTACAAGTACTTGGGTGTACACATGAATGACAACCTCAGCTGGAGCAACAACACCACCAGCCTGATCAAGAAAGCTCATCAGAGACTCTACTTCCTCAGACGGCTGAGACGAGCTGGTCTGGGAAGCTCAGTCCTCACCTCCTTCTACAGGTGTGCAGTGGAGAGCATCCTGTGCTCGAGCATCAATGTGTGGCATGGAGGCTGCACAGCTGCAGAAAGAAAAGCTTTGCAGAGAGTGGTGAAGGCTGCACAGAAATCTGTTGGAATCAGTCTCCCCACCATCACAGACATCTACACCTCCAGATGCAGGAAGAGGGCCACCTGCATCATGAAGGACCCCACTCACCCAGCACACACACTTTTTGCCCCACTCCCCTCAGGAAGGAGGTTAAGGAGCATTAAGTGTAGAACCACTAGACTGAGGAACAGCTTCTACCCTGAGGCTGTTAGACTCATGAATCTCTAACTAGAATAATCACTGTGAAAAACCATATCATGTTGCTGCTGATCTGTTTCATGTTGCTGCTGATCTGTTTCATGTTGCTGCTGATCTGTTTCAATGTTGATGTGTTCATGCGTGCACATCTGCTCACAGACTCATGTTCATGTTTGTGCTGATGTTCAATGTTTTATGTTATGAGTGCTTAGTGTATATTTAGTTGATGTTTTTCTTAGTTCATATCTTAGATGTCATTACTGTTTTTCTTATACATTTTATTGCTGGATGTAACTGGGACCCTGCGTACATAATTTCGCTCCACCACATGTACCACATGATGTGCGAATGACAATAAAGAAACTCTGACTCTGACTCTGACTCTGATTAGCTCTGCTGGGGCCTCGTGCATTAACGGTGCGTACACACAAAAAGGTAGAGTGCACCAGGTTCTGCGCACATGCTGGGGTGTATCAAAAAGAACGATGCGTGAAAGTGCACGTAAATTCACACCTTTTTAAACTGCCGGGAGAATGTTCTTATCTCCACACAAACTTTTTCAGTTTGCAGCCAGTAACGGACTACAAAGTACTGAAACTCACCTAAATACACAGAAATCGGACTCTGTTTGGTTTTCTTAAGATAGGAGATTGTGACAAAGTGAAGATTCAACACAATCTGCTGGCTTCCTTAGATAACTTTTACTATTTGACCTTTTTTAATATATGTAAATGTCTTTGAACATTGCCTGAATATGACTTTGTTGTGAATTAGTGCCATGTAAATGAACTGAATTTAATTTAACGACTCGTCTTTGAATCACTACCTTATCGTACTGGAGGAGTTGGAGTGCCTGAATAATCTAGAAACTATGCTGTCAGGGGCAGTTACCCCTGGTAGGGTCTCCCAAGGCACACTGGTCATAGGTAACAGGTCAAACAAGGAGCAATTCCAAAGACTCATATTGATGGAAAATGCCCGGCTGTGGATTACCCGGGCTCCACCCTGGAGCCCGGCCTCGGGGAGGGGCTCCTTGCAAGCGCCTGGGTCTCAACCCATGGGGCCCAGTTGGGCTCAGCCTGAACGAGCAATGTAGGTTCGCTTTCCTTTGGGAAAGTAAACCCACGTTGCTCCATGGGAGAGGGGATCCATCACTACGGGCAATTCAGTCGTTATACAAGTGGTGCGAGTGTTTGGTTCTCATTGCTGGCAGTAAGTCAGACCCCTTCAGGGTGGGAGTTGGACTCCACCAGGTATGCCTGTTGTCACTGATTCTGTTAATAATCTGTTTTATGGACAGAATTTATGGGTGCAGCCCGGGACAGAGGGAGTCTGGTTTGGTGGTTTATTTACACATATTTAGAGTAATTGTGGGAGGAATGCATGCTTTGGATTTTGATTACTCAGATATTTTACTGATAGGTGGATTATGTTGATGATACTCTTGTTTCTTTAAATCATGACTGTCACTTTATTATAGTTGTTTAGAAACCTGATGAATGTGCTATAACAAAATTCACAGTTGAAACCAGTGCCTTTGTGTAAAAAGTTTATCTGCAAAAAGAAGCGGATAACTTTTTCTTTTTATTAAAAGCTTTGTGTGAAAAATGCTATGCTAAAGAGCTCAAACCACACAGACGTCCACCATTTTGAGAACTGAAGAGAGACAGCCCATATCAGTCAAGGAGCCTCCCTCCCATTTTTTTAAAAGAGACACACTGCTTACTCCCTTACTGTCCATCCTTTGGTTCAAACAGTTTTATACTGCCTCTGTACTGTATAATGTTTTGGTTGTCAGCAGCAAACTGGCTGATCCACTACAAGAAGGTGTTTATAAGACTGAGCTGAATACAGCACCTCAGACTGAAGAAGTCTTTTGGATGAAAGACGAAACGTTTCTAGTTTTGTTTTTTTGAATGTCCAGAGGACCAGATTCAACTTTTTTGGATTTTTCTACCTTCATTATTGAGCATGCATCAGGATAAGTCTCATACTGTCATCCGGTGGTCGACAAAGGTACTACGAGCAAAACAAATCAAACATTTCTTCTTAAGTTTGACAATAATGACGAATTATTGTCAAACTTCAAAAAATACGGTCGTTAATCGCAGTAATTTCTGAGGCAATCGCCCAACAAAATACGTAATCGTGACAGGTCTAAGGTCAAAGTTTATTCAAGGTCCTTGCTTGTCCATGTCATTGCTATAGATTGTCGTTTGTCGATGGTTTTACAATGGGCCGTATGTGGTGATCTTGTTGAAGCAGAGGTTTTAATCTTTTGATACTGAACTAATTCTAAATTAACAATCACTAGACTGTTACTTTGTCCCTTTACATTTTAATTGTCACATTTTTACGTGTTTTTCCATTTATCACAAACCTCATCCCGTGTCTCTCCAATCTAGTGGAATGAAACCATTAAACGTTTTCGTGGAGGTATACCACTACGAAGGCACTGGGCGCACTTCCGCTGCTACGACAGCAGTTTCACCGGGTCGGAGGCTGTGGATTATCTGCACGAGCTGCTGAGACACAACTATAACTTTGGGCCAGAAGTGACTCGAAATCAGACCCTGCAGCTGCTCAAGAAGTTCTTGAAGGCTCATGTGATTGAAGACATCAAAGGACGCCATGGGACGGAGGACTTTGAAGACAGCAACCATCTGTACCGGTAAAAGAGACACCACATTTATTTTTAGACTGATTTTTGTAAGCAAAGTTATTTTTTAAATTATAATTAGTAAAATTATATTTTATTCTTAACAACGCAGTTTTCAGATTGTTGTTCTGCCATAACAAATATTGTTTTGATATTGAATATATGTCTTTGTTTTAGAAGTGGTGTTAAAAATCCTGTGAGAATGATTTTCCATAAATTTCTATTGTAGCCCTCACGTCCAATAAAAAGGTCACATCACTCAGTGAAGTCAAAATAGACAATTTATTAGTGGATCAATGTGGCAGTCTAATTCCCAATCATTACAGCCAGCACAACTCGTATGCTCCACGAGCCTACAAGTCCAAAGGGAAGCTGACAAAACTAAGTGGGGAACCCCCCACCCAAACATTTCTGACCAGGCCGCACCTACTCCTTTTATCTGCTTGCCTTTCAGTCATTGAGGTGGAGCACCAACAGGTGCCACTGGTTACACTATCATCCTTTTTTTCCCCCCATGTTTGTGCAGAGTGTTGCTCTTTATCCAGCTGATGTTGTCTTTCTCTCCAGGTTCCCCCCTCTGTCTCCTCTCAAGTCTCTTCCAATAAGACCTCTGTTGAGAGACAGCAGTGACCTGCCCAGACTCATCCGCTGGGACGACTATGAAGAACTGCCTCAGCAGGAAAATGTAGCACCCCTGAAGTCTGCAGCGATGGTATTAAACAAACAAAAAGCTTCAGTCCCTCCTGAGCTTTCACTGACTCGGTGTGAATATAAACATTTAAAGTGGTACCTTTTTGTTTTGTTACTAGCTGATGCGCTTATTTATTTGTTTTCTCATCAGGCTTGTGTTTAACATAAAAATAATAAAAGTAATGTAATATATTAGGGACAAATAAATAATTTAAAGCAATACTGTATTTCAGTCCTTTTGAAATGATCTGTAAAAAGGTTATGAGCAGACTCAGTTTGGAGAAAAACATCTGTGTCAGACTGATGAGCTGATGGCTAGTCAGAGCAGGGCCAGGACCAAAGTTAGTTTGCTGCCTCCTTTAAGAAACTCCATTCTACAAATAAAATAATGAAGACACTATTATAAACCTTTACCTTACCATAAATTTCCCATTAAAAGTTATTATAGTTATAGACTTATAGAATATACCGTACTTTCCGTTGTACACATCACACCGCCGTATAAGTTGCATCAGTCCAAATATGTCTAATAAAGTGGAAAATTTAAAAAAGTTGCTTCACCGTATAAGTTGCATCTATTATGCATCACTGCTGATGCGTTGCATTTGTTACGCGTCACCGCTGACCACCCGGAAATGTGGGCCAGTGTGCCAAAAATTGATTGGCGGCCAAAATGGCGGCTGCGGGAGCTTGCACGGGAGGACTTTAACAAGATTAACACTTAAAACAATTATTTCTTTGCTCGAAATTATAGTAAATGTGTGTCTAAGTTGAACTTTTCCTTAATAAATGCACTTTAATGGTCAAATCAGCTGCATTTCACCTGGGTGGTGCGGTGAAATGCAGCTGATTTGACATTTGCTCCAGGAGTTCCAGAGCGAGACAAAGGTGGCTGTCTATAAGGCAAGCCGTGTGTCTCATTAATAGCCACTCTTACCTATTAATGAGACACTTGGCTTGCCATAACACTCGATGGCCCTCTAGTGGCTGTAAATGGTAATGTTTAATATTTTTCATGTAAGAATGAATGCAATCGTCAGATCTCAGACAAAAATTGAGTTATAAATATGGGGAAAAACGTAGATTATTCACTTTGGTGTATATATGGGGGCCGAGATGGTGTAGAGGCAGGGCAGCCGGCTTGGGACCCGAAAGTCCCAGGTTCGATCCCCAGTCACTGCACATCACGTGGCGTCTCTGGGCAGCACGCCTCATCCCCAAAATGCCCCCCGGGCGCTTTCAATAGCTGCCCACTGCACCACCTGGTGGTGGATGGGTTAAATGCAGAGACTAATTTCGCCATTGTATGGAAACATACAGTGCTGACATTGTGATGACATAATTATTATTATTATAAGTCGCAAATTTATGCAACAAGATGCGACTTATACGGCGAAAAATACTGTAGTTAAAGAATTCTGTAGATAACTGCTGACACAAAGCGAGGCAGCAGTAGCAAGCTGTAGCATTTCTGGTGCAGCTCAGAGCCCTTCTAACAGGAATAAAACGCCACTTGTACTAGTGGCTTCACTTGAGGAATGAGACATTTGTAGCTCATGTCTAGGAGTTAATGAGCTGATCAGGGTGTGACATCAGGAGTTTACAATATTGAACCTCTTAACAATAGTCTAATTTTCTGAGACATTGAATTTATTATTTTTTTATTATCCCCATCAAAATTACAATAAAGGCTTGAAATATTTCACAGTGTAATGAATCTATGTAATATTTGAGGTTCACTTTCTGAAATGATTGACAAAAAATGAACCTTTTCACGATATTCTAATTTTTTTAGATGCACCTGTAAACACGTTTATAAAGATTAAACATATGAAGTGTCAAAAAAGAAAGGAACAGTGAAGAGAAAGACACTTTAGGACATTTCTATATTTACGTGACTAGACTGTTTCATTGAGTCACTGAACATTTACTCATATAGTTGAACATTTATTTTCATGCCTCCTTATTTCTCAGACTTCAGATTTGTGGAATAAACGACACAGCGTTGCTGTTGGAGATGTGCACGAATGCAAGCTCATTCGCAGAAAGGAAGTCACTTCAAAACAAGTGGATCACATCTGGAAATCAATGACTGTTGCTCAGTACGTTAACGTCTCTCTCACCTCGTAAAGCACTGAGCATGTTAACAGTTTTTCATTTATTGATGCTAACTCTGTAGTCTTCAGTTTACAGAGGGTTCTGGGCCTAAAGACACTGGATGGGATTTTGAGTCCGGTGCACGTGAACGGAAAGCACATTGTCCACAACATCTTCAGTGTTAATAAAGCAGGCGTAGTTGTGTTGGAGAACAAAGCTGGTACGTCTGGACGATTCACAGATTCTTACTTTTCTTTACAAAACAAACAAACACCATGTCTGTTTCTTTTCCTCCTCAGAGGACATGCCCTACTGGGTGGTATCAGCAATGAAATGTCTTGCCAACTGTAAGTATACGTGATTTATTGACTCAAATTGTTGCCTTAAGACTGGTTCAAGGACCGTAGTTATGTTCATAGGATAAAAACAAAATCGTAAATTTTATCAAATGTTCTATTTGTTGTTAAATTCTGTATTTAAATTCTTGTTTGTAGTTTAATTCTGTAGGTTAATTCTGTTCTGAACTGCACAATATAACCGACTAGGTCACATGTTTATAGCAGTGCATGGTTCTCAGATGTTTTTGTCAGGCCTCCCCTTTGGAGAAAGAACCAAATAATGCTTCAGAGACTCAACTCTTTAAAATCTACTCCCTTTGAGTGACATAAACTCATTCAAGGCAGAGGTCTTTCAGTCAAGCAGATAAAGATGGGTATTTTAAGTTTATTTCACTTGTGCTAAACTTTTATATATGACAAGTCAGCTTTATTGTCAGTTGTCCTTATGTCGAAGACATGCAGAGAATCAAACTTACAGCCCACTCTCATTGGTGGTGCAAGGCATTAACACATTATGATGGTTGTATTTGAACATAATGAATGGACTTTTGTGTGGCAAAAAGTACTTGAACATTAACAAACTGTGATTGGTAACACAGGGAAACCAGACAAACAATATAATCAACATCAATGCAAACAATGTAAATAATATTAGATTTATGATCATTAAATGCATTACAATTATCACAGTACAGTTGATCACAATTTGGGTCCAAATGTAGCCTAGCGTTGGAGAAAAATATTCTCGCAATCTACAGTGCTTACTTAAATGAACCACACTCGACACTAGAATTTTAACAAGTATTTTGGTCAGATTTTCAGGAAAGGTTACATAGATATACATAAAGTACACACATGAAAACCAGTCTAGAGAATTTGCTGCAAGCTGTGTGTGAAGCTTGTTTTTATACTCTTATCAGTTCAGCCGAGTTCAGACTCGAAGGTGTCCTTGGAGCGACAGCTGCATGCTGTAGCCTCACTCAGCTCCTCATCCAGCGCTCTCTGCTAACCCAAACATATGGTTCATGGGCAGAGTTAACATTCTCAGCCATAGCAGTTAAAATCATCCATAACCTTTGATCAAAAATTCCCCAACATATAGCACATAGCATTAATTTAGCAAAAACCTTGTTTATTTTGTGTTATAATCCTGTGTAATGCTGAAGTCTGCAGATATTTATAAGTACAAAGACACTTTATGTAGACAACATTGTGAGTTTTGAAGAAAAAAATAAAAGTGAAACTGAGACACACCTTCACTTTTATCTTGAGCAAATAAAAATGTATGTTTAGTGTTAATGGATTTATTCAGTGTTAACTTCAAGAACTTAAGCAGCAGAAACACCCAGACGAACAGGCTGTGCTCGCACCTGTGGCGCCTGAACACATTTTGGTACAACACCTGTCCCGCCATGATCTTTTATAAATGAAGTGAGCATTGAGGTGTAGAGGAGAATCTCCATGTGAAGCTTCAGCACATTGATTGTTGGATGGACAACTGCCTCCCATCTTTAATACAACACAATGAATTAACACAGTTTAGTGATCCTCAATTAAAATCCTTGATTTTTAGCAATAACAAATCTCTCCATTATCCAAACTTACACTTTGTTAAACAGAAAAACAAAAAATTGCGTAATAAATGGATTTATTGTTTTGTGCATCCCTAAAATAAGTTTGAAGTGCAGCGAGGCATTGTAACGTTAGTCCTACTTTTTATATGTTTTGGCCTGGGATAAAAAACATTCTGCGACGTCTTAATTACCAAAGACAGCTATACTTTTTGATCCACTGTGTTTCATTTTATGGCATATATCCAACCTTGTTAATTTATATTTTCTGGTGTTTCTTGTAATAAACCAAAGCTTCCTTTGACCTTTTCCCCAGGGCCTAATGCCAGTGACATGAAGCAGCCCGTGTACCTGGGTTTTGAAAGAGATGTCCTGAGAACAGTAGCAGATTATTACCAGAGACTCAAAGAGCCCTTGCTGACTTTCCACCTTTATGAGGTCTTTGTCAACATTCTCAGTGAGTGCTTCACATTGGGGACCCACCACAATATCTCTCATGCTCATTTTGTCTGCACTTTCCCTCAGAGAGCTGTACTCTATTTCTCATCTTCTAATTGCAGGCCTGCTGCAGGAGCAGGACGTCGCCACCGAGGCTCTTCAAGTCAGCTGCCTCCTGCTGCCGCCGCCCAACCGAAGACGGCTCCAGCTTTTACTGCGTTTCATGGCCCGCGTCTGCCAGAACCCCCAGCTGCCTCCACTTAACGACACCATTGCGACCCGCACGCTGGTACGTTTTGTTCTTACCGTTTATTCACGATATAGACTTGTACCAATTCTGTTTCCACTGTGTTTAGGAAATATCCCACAAGTCAACGTAATCTCACTTTTTTTCATTCAACCTTTATTTATATAGGCTCGTCTCATTGAGCCTCGATGACTCATTTACAAGAGAGACCTGTTTTAAACAAAGAACGATGACAACAGTGGACAATCATAAAAGAAAGCTTATAAACTGAGAAAAATAAATGGAAGAAAATGTTATTAAAAAATGAAACAATAACAGCTACATTATAAAGCGATGTAAAATACTAAAAACAGGAACATGTCTTCATTGGTTTTTGCCAGAAACTTAGCAGATGTTTGAAGCCACTTAGAGAGGTCAACGTCGAGAACTTCAGATCTTTTTGTAAGATATTCCAGGAAACAGGAGCAGAGTAGGAGAAGACCCTTTTTCCTAGTTCAGTCCGCACTAAGGGAACACTGCAGGTAATAATGTCCTGAGAGCGCACGCTGTAGCTGCACTCACGCAGAGACATGTAGGAGGAGAAGTATGAAGGCAGCAGACTAAGAAATGATTTAAAGATGAAAATGTACAAGAGAGAGTCTGCGTGAAGTTACGCTCGGCAGAATGCAGATCTTAAAGTCATCTACCTGGAAGCTACAGCAGAAGCGCTCCAGTGGGCAGAAGAGGAAGCGCTGCTCCGGGCTTAAGAGGAGAGGATGCCGGGCAGGGGTTATGGTGAGGCTACGAGCTAACGCTAAAGCTGGCAGACTCCCGATACCCTCTCTCTTTCTGTCGAAACTCCGCTCTTTGGACAACAAGATGGCTTTGCTTCGTCTGAGAGTGAGTGCCTCAGAGGAGATTAGGAAATGTGTGGTGCTTTGTCTCACGGAATTATGGATTAACAGCAACATGCCGGACTCCGCCTTCCAGCTGGATGACGGACTCTTTTTTTTTCAAGCGAACCGCTGCAGTGAGTTAACGGGGAAATTGAGGGGAGGCGGGTATGCATTTACGTGAGTAAAATTTTGTGCATAAGTAGAGCACAAACTTTCATTATATGCGGATGACATAATCCTTCTCATCTCGAACTTTAAAAAATCCATTCCAGCTTTGTTTGACTTAATTGAAGAGTATGGTCATATTTCAGGGTATAATATAAACAAATCTCAATCTTCGCTGTTATTACTAGATGAAAAAGAAACAACTCTAGGAATAAGCTCACAATTCAAAATTGTTAGAGAATTTACTTATTTGGGAATTTAAATTTTTCCAAATTTAGACATAATTATCAAGAAAAACTATGAGTGCCTGACAAACAAAATCACTGAGAGTGTCAATAGATGGATGCCCCTGTCACTAATTGGTAGGATCAATAGTTACAAAATGAATATACTTCCCAAAATACTATATCTGTTTCAGAATCTCCCCCTGCCACCTCCTGCAAACTGGTTCAATAATTTTAGGAAGTTAATGACTGACTTTTTATGGCAAAATAAACGGCCCAGGGTTAGAATGTCACTTTTACATTTGCCTTACAATAGAGGAGGACTAGGATGTCCTAACATAACCTGGTATTATTGGGCAGCTCATCTTAGGGCTATTAGATATTACTTTAAAGCCAAGGATGCCCCACAATGGACAGAAATGGAATCTGATTCAGTCAGTCCACCTTTACCTTTATATATTTTCTCAGATTCAGTAACAAAATTACTGGGAAAAACAGTAAATCCAATTGTTAAAAATATGATCAAAGTATGGTATGAAGTAAAAAAGTTCACAAAGGAACCACTTACATTATCACAATTTACTCCAGTATGGGGAAATCAAGATTTTACTCCTGGGAGAGCAGACTCTATATTTAAACAATGGGCTATGAAAGGAATAAGCAAAATTCAAGACTTGGTTCACTGTACATGATGTCTTTTGAGGATCTCAGTCAGAACTTTAATATACACAAAAAATACTTTTTTAAATATCTTCAGCTTAGAAGCTACATTAGGACCAAAAACGATGACTTATCCAAGCCAACAAAATCCTAACTAGAAGAAATGGTCTGCAAAGATAGCTGAAATAAAGGTGCAATTTCAAAATTTTATAAATTTATACTTTTAAATTCCCCAGAAAACTCAACACTCAAATTGCAAGCCTGGAAAAGAGATCTAGGAAGAAATCTCTCACAGGAAGAATGGCAGTCCATCTGTACAAAGGCCCACAAACAAACAATTAACTCACGATTAAGGTTACTACAGTATAAATGGTTAATGCGAATCTATGTTACACCAGTCAATTTTAATCGATATAATCCTAATATACCAGACACATGCATACTGATGAGGGTCCTCGTTGATGTTGATGGTTCTTTTGATGTGAGTCATGACCAGTTTTTTGAAGCATTTAGCAACTAAAGGCCACTGGCCGATAGTCATTCAGACCAGTCACTGTAGAGCATTTTGGGACTGGGATGATGGTGGCAGTCTTCAGGCAGGTGGGAACTGTCTCCAGGGTAAGTGAGGTGTTAAAGATGTCTGCCAGCACCTCACAGAGCTGATCGGCACATTCCTTCAATACTTTTCCGGGGATGTTGTCTGGGCCAGTTGCTTTGTGCAGATTAATCCTCCTGAAGGTACTCCTTACTTCTGCTGAGGTCACGCTGAGATGCTCTTCATCCGGTGGTGAGGTGAGTCTGGGGCTGGGTGGTCTCTTCAGGTCTTCAAAACGTGTATAGAACTTGTTGAGAGCATCAGGCAGAGATGGGTCTTTGGGTCATTGTTCGCTTCTTCCTTTATAATCTGTTATGCACTTAATGTCCCTCCACATGCTCCAAGGGTCTTGTGAGATGAATTGACCCTCGATCCTCTTTGCATATGTGGCTATGGCCTTCTTAATACCAGCAACCAGCTCTTTTCTTGTCCTACTCAGCTCCTCTGAGTTTCCAGACCTGAAGGCAGTGTTCCTGGCTTCCAGCAGGGTACGCACCTCTGCATTCAGCCAAGGTTTTCTGTTTGGGTAACTTTTAACATTTCTGATAGTGGAGACGGTGTCAGTACATGTACTAATGTAACCCAGAACTGAGGATGTGTATTGGTCAAGATCAAGCGAACCTCCATTTTCAGCAGCTTCTCTGAAAACCTGCCAGTCTGTTCGGTCAAAACAATCTCTCAGTATGGGGCCACTGTCCTGGATCCAGCATTTAACTTTCTTTTGTACCGGTCTGGAGCGTCTCAGCGGGGGCATGTAAGCAGGAGCCAGGAAGATTGAGATGTTGTCTGACAGTCCTAGGTGGGGGCGGGGTTCGGCTTTGTATGCATCTTTTACATTCATGTAAACATGGTCCAGCGTCTTGTCTCCACGTGTTGGAATTGTCACATGCTGATTAAAGCTTGGGAGACAGTCCTTTAGATTCACGTAATTAAAGTCTCCGGCTACAACGTAAAGAGCTTTGGGGTGTTTGCTCTGCAGCGAGCTGATGATATCATGAAGCTCCTGCAGTGATTCATTAGCATTAGCGTCCGGAGGAATGTAAACAACCGTGATGAAAGTCACTGTGAACTCGCGCGGTAGATAATGTGGCCGACATTTCACTGTTATTTGCTCCAAAGCCTTTGAGCATGAGCTATTTACAACAGTACAGTTCGTGCACCAACTTTTATTCACGTATATGCATACTCCGCCTCCCCGTGATTTCCCCGTTAGCTCGCTGCAGCGGTCCACTCGAAAAAATAAAGTCTGTCATCCAGCTGGAAGACTGTATCTGGCTTTTCGCTTGTAATCCATGTTTCTGTGAGGCAAAGCACTGCACACTTCTTCATCTCTTCTGAGGCGCCCGCTCTCAGACGAAGTAAATCCACCTTGTTGTCCAACGAGCATACATTCGACAGAAAGAGAGACGGCATGGGGAGTTTACCGGCTTTAGCATTAGCTCGTAGCCTCACCATAACCCCTGCCCAGCATCCTCTCCTCTTAAGCCCGGAGCAGCGCTTCCTCTTCTGCCCACTGGAACGCCTCTGCTGCAGCTTCCAGGTAGATGACTTTAAGATCTGCATTCTGCCGAGCGTAGTTTTGAGTTTGTTGCCGATTTCTGCTTTATTTCGTGGCAAATCCGCTCCTATTCTCATCAGTTCGGTTCGGCTATAGTTCACACGCATAAATCGTGCGGAGTCAGGCACAGAGTCGATATCAAAACTTCTAAAAACTGGGATGGTACCGGGAGCCTGTGAAGCTGCAACTGCTCTGAGCGCGGCCATCTTGGATTGTGCAAATGAATGACAACCTCAGCTGGGGCAACAACATTACCAGCCTGATCAAGAAAGCTCATCATAGACTCTACTTCCTCAGGCAGCTGAGATGAGCTGGTATGGGAAGCACAGTCCTCACCTCCTTCTACAGGTGTGCAGTGGAGATCATCCTGTGGCATGGAGGCTGCACAGCTGCAGAAAGAAAAGCTTTGTAGAGAGTGGTGATGGCTGCACAGAAGTCTGTTGGAGTCAGTCTCCCCACCATCACAGACATCTACACCTCCAGATGCAAGAAGAGGGCCACCTGCATCATGAAGGACCCCACTCACCCCTCACACACACTTTTTCCCCGCTTCCCTCAGGAAGGAGGTTAAGGAGCATTAAGTGTAGAACCACTAGACTGAGGAACTGCTTCTACCCTGAGGCTGTTAGACTCATGAATCTCTAACCAGAATAATCACTGTGAAAAATCACATCATGCTGCTGCTGATCTGTTTTAATGTTGCTGTGTTCATTCGTACTCATCTGCTCACACAGACACATTTGTGCTACTGTTCGGTGTATTGTTTTTATGCTGTTGGTGCTTAGTGTATTTTTATTAACGTTTTTCTTAGTTCATGTCTTAGATCTTATTACTGTTTTTCTTTTACATTTTAATACTTTTGGTGGATGTAACTGGGACCCTATATACATAATTTTGTTCCACCACATACTACCACATGTGGTGGAATGACAAATAAAGAACCTTGAATCCTTGAATCCTTAACC